CAAACTATGGGAATGCGCCATTTCGATTTCGATTCCGATTCCAATTGTGAACCGAATGGACCCTTATTATTTAAAAACAAAACTTGTCTTAAATTAAATAACAAATTTATATATCAAAAGAAATATCAAATAAATAATTACCTAAATCTACAGTATAAAAAATGGGTGTCAAACAAGAACAGGGGGTCATTCACTAAGACTATGTTTACTTTGAAGGAAAAAGTAGGGAAAAGAAAGAAAAGAGAAAAAAACCTTTATAAATCTAGTATAGATTTCCCTAACTATCTTTTCCTTCAAATCAAACATGTCCTAATTGATTAATGAGTGAGAATAGAGTAGTGGAGTACTGCAAATGAGGTACATTGACGGAAATCTGCAGTTATATAGGTTTGAAACCTTGCCAGCATATTCCGAGGAACACCAAATGACCATCAAGTTCTTTTTAAGCTTTTGTCTATATGGATGCCATGAGATATTAGAAGGTTTGAGGCATAAAGTGTTTATTATGATTCCCACTCAATTATACTTTGAGAGTAGTCACACCTGTCAAATAAAAATGATACTGCCTCGTACAAAAGTTGAAAATAAAGTAAAGGATTATTTTTTTTTTATCACTTAAAAGTTTACAAAGTTAGGAATGACCTGTGGATCCCTATGATTACAACTCTCAAGTATCAACCTTCCTTTTGAGTCAGTGGAGGAATGGCTAATATATGTAACATCAGTGTGAATCATGATCTCTTAGAACCTAAGAAGAAAATAAGCAGCTTACTTGACCATATTAAAGATGGCTCTTATGTTTGAGGCAAGTTGCATTAACCAGGGTTCGGTTAAAACCGAATAATCGAACTGAAATTTCGGGTTCGGTGCTTTTGAGTTGGTTAGTTTGGGTATTTGGTTTGGTTGTAAATATCGGTTTCTTAGAAGTTTGAGTTTCGGTTTTGGTTATTGTATTTAACAATTTGGTTAACTTGAAAAACCAAACTTCTATAGGTAAATTAGTAATTTTCTAAATCTTAATAGAATGGGCACACTAGGGTATTCGAAAAAATGCAAATCCCCTTCCCCTTTGTCAGTTTGTCAACCGGAAATTAACCCAAAAATTGATATTAATAATTTCCTAAATTTCTATTTTTTCCTTATATCATAGAAATTATGAAGAAATGAATACTGATAACAGTTCTTTGCAAATTGATATTTAGTCTCAGTTTGGAAAGAGTACAAATGCAAATATATATAGTATAAATGCGTACAAAATAATATAAAATATAAGGTTTTGTGCTCTACATATTTGCATTTGTACTCCTTTCAAACTGAGTTTTATGTTCAATTTTTTGAAGCTATAATAGGTCTTTGTAAATGACCCACCTATTTGAAGTTCAGTTTAATCGAAACAACCGAATTAATTGAAAAAAAAAAATCAGTTCGGTTTAATCAAACTTCGGTTTCAGTTCGATTTCCAATTATATTAATTCAGTTTTGGAAAGTTTGATTTATTTGGTTTGGCTTTAAACCGAACAAACCGTTTGCTCACCCCTAGCATTAACTAAGCTGTGGTGGTTGAACTACCGTGTTCTAGATGATCTTTTTGGAGTAGCTTTATGTTACAATTGCATTTCTCATGTTGGGAATGCCAAATATTGGCTTTCGTTTTCACCAAATACAACTACTACAGTTCCATGTGGGGCCAGCTTGGAAGACTGGAAGTCGCTGATGCTGCTTGATCCGAGGTGTTTCTTGAACCGAGGTTGTAGTCAGATAGTCCTTCCAATTGGATGAGTGGAAGGACGAAGCTACACTCCAAGATCTGAAACCACGAACAGAGTCAAAGGCTCGAGGGGTTATTCCTCGAGTAGGTACTCCAATGTTCAAGTTAGCCAAGAGCAGTGGGTGGTCGGGCCGAGTAATTGAGAGAACAATACTAGTTCAAGCAAAGTAACTGTGTGGAGGCTAAAAAGTCCAAAGTCCCTTACCTCGAGCGGGGATTACCTATTTATAGCCAAAGATCTATGTCTGATTCGGATGAGGGTTCTAAGGTTATCCGCCAAGGTTTTCAGGATAAGACTTAATCCCCAACGGAGTTGTCCTCCTTATCTATACGATGCTCTCCTATCTTAGTCGTGCTTATCTGATGATGTGGTGCTGACATGGCCAAGGTGATAAGGCGGCCATAGGGATGACACGTGACACCCGAGGCCAACTTAACCATAACACAAACAGCCACATCCTAAAAGCCCTCCCAAATGGGAACTAAAGTATCTTTTACCTAATAAAGATAAGTGAATAGGGGTAGGGGTGTCCACGGTTCAATTAATCAAACCATGGCCCCTTTTTGTAAACCGAATCGGTGGTACCTGTTTTTCATTTCGCCAAACCAAAACCGAATCGGTACCACCGGTTAACCGGTCTGTCAGTTTAGGTTTTTGACTAGTTCGGTTTTTTGGTTTTTCAAAATATATAATATATTTATAAATAGATCATTATAAATATAATATAAGTATATATTTATATATAATGAATATATTTATATGAAATACATAGAAAATATGTGACGAATATTAAAAATATATGTAAAATATACATATAAATATATATACCGGTCGGTTCGGTTAACCGTCGGTTTTTTATAGTTTAACCGAAAATCGAACCAGTCCTTTGGTTTTTCAAAAATTTTGAACTGAAATCGAACCGACCAGTTCGGTTAACCGCATTTTGTGGTTTGGTTTTCTCAGTTCGGTTCGGTTTTTCGGTTTTTCATGGACACCCCTAAATAGGGGGGGAGTTGATCAATAGAAAAGTGATTTCCATTGACCAACTTTACAGCATTCTTTTTTCAGCAAGTACTATATCCTTTGGGTACTCATCTCTATGGTAGATAAATAACTTTCTCACATAGAGGAAAAGTTTATAAAACAGGGACAAATTTGTCTATTTTAACATTGGCTTTTTATGAATATAAAAGTCATTGTATTACTCAACTCGGAATCAAAATAACATGAATAAATGAATTTACCTAGACAAATGCCCTTACCAATAAGTGACCATTTGAAAAGCGAAAAAAAAAGGTTGAAGTCTAACTCTATGGAAGGCATGCATATTTTCTTTTTTAATATGTTTTCTTGTCCTATTAAGCACCTTGCAATGTTTGATAAAAGTGTAAATGCAGAATAGTCTAAAAATCCTTGTTTTCACACACAACCAAACGCGATACAAAATTTATCAATGCAAGAGGGAACTAAGTTTATATTTGTACTTCTTATAAATTTTACATTTATATCGATACATTTTGCGCTCTTACCCATTGCAAATAAACCCTACCGTCAATTTGTCACATGATCAATTCTAATTTATTTAAATGTATTAAAAATCCACTAATCAGTCCTTTTATTTATTCTTTTCTTTTGTACCATATGTGCAAGATACATGCACTTGGATATAAATAATTTTTTAATGGGTTAGATACTTTATATATATATATATATATATATATATATATATATAAAAGTACAATAATTATATGACCTAAAACTCATCAAAATTGGCATCCCATGTCAGATATCACATGTGTGAAAAAAGAAAAATAAAATAAGAGATAGCATGGGCTCCATTTCCTTACCCTCGGAAAAAAATAAGTTATAAAATATAGAATGACAGAGTACAGAAGATTGACTATGTTATACCTCTAACTTGCAGAGATATGAACCAATATAAATATGAAGGTTTTATATAGGAGAGATGCAATTGAAGCATCCAAATCCTTTTTGTACATTACAAAGCAAAACCCTCCTCTCTCCACATTTGAAAGTGGGTGGGTTGGATTGAGTCTAGAATTTGAATCTAATTTTCTATTATTTCTTGTTATATATAGTAATAAATAAATAAATAATTAAAAATTTTAATTATTTAATTGAAATATATAGAGAAGACATAAATTATCACCTAATCTTCACATTGAGTTCAAAATATTAAACAGCAAATGCATGTGTTCATATGCCTTCTTGTGATATGTAGATAATTTGGATGAATTGGATGGACCAATACATTGTGAATTGGACCAGTTCAGATTTGATGGTCCAAGGTACTTATTGGATTGGATTGGACCTGGTTCATCCATAATGAATTTATATTCAATTTGGTTGGATTGAGCCAATATCTAGTCCATTGATTGATGGAAGACAAGAATATAGATGTCAATTAATCATGTTTCAGTTATAACCAATCTAAATTAAAACCAAACAGTCCAAACATTGAATTGGATTAGTCCAAGGTGATCCAGAATATTCATCGGATTGGATTAGACCTGATCCATCTGTAACAAATTCATACTGAATCGGATCGGATTGAACCAAACCCGGTCCAATTGACACCCATCCCATCAACAAAATAGAACCATCTACTTAAAACAATTTTTTTTTTTTCGTTTTGTCACCTTATTGATTTTGTCTTTCTCGTTTGGAGAACTTGACTTGTTTTATATTCATTTGTTTACAAATTACAACAATTGTACTATGGGTTTGAATGGAAATAATTTATGGTTAATGAGCTTCTTGAAATACAAATTCGGGAGAGGTGGTTCAGGGATATTTCATTTCATTTTATTTTTCAGAAATTCGGGAATTTGATATTTTAAACACAATGAAGCATTCGGCATTCCTTCTATGTAAATGGAGATATTTTCTTGGTGAGTTGGAATTGAGAGTAAGCACTTGATTCCATGGAAAGACGGAGATTCAATAGTGTCAATAAACCAAGCAGATTCTTTTTGTTTGTCATTGTTACATTAATGAGAGAAAAAAAAAAAATCTTACTTTTCTAATGGGCCTTGGGCCTTGTCATTCAACGTCCCAACACGTGAAAAACAAACAGGTCATCTGCAACATCACTCATCGTCAATGTGCCACGTGGCATCATTTCAGCCGTCGTCTTCCTTCTTGCCACCCCCACCATTTTGTCTTAATATACCAGCTTCTTCTCTAGAAAAAGCATACAACACTCGGTTACTTACACTCAGAGAGAGAGAGAGAGATCAAGCAAGCAAGAACGAGAGGTCAGTATTCCACACAAATCCAGCCTGAAATCCTTATCCTGCCTTCCTCAAACTTTCTTCTATATCTCTGCCTCTCTTGAATCCAGCTTCTTAGTCTCTCTTTAGACTCTTCCCTTCTTCTCTCACTAATTACCTTCCTTTCTCCTGGCTAGAGTTCATATATATCAACTCTAAACAATGATTCCAAGTTGCTTTTAGTAATCTTAGCAATGAATTCTGAACTTGGCTTCTAATTTTTTTCCCTCAAAATACAGCTCTTTCTGATTGAATATGGCACCAAAATCTGGACGAGGCAAAACCAATAAAGCAAAGGGAGAGAAGAAGAAGAAAGAAGAGAAAGGTTAGTTAATACTTCTCACATCTAAATAAATCCACTCTGAAATAATGCTCTCTTTCAGACTAATTATATTTTAATCTTCTACTTGTAGTTGTGCCCAGTCTTCTCGACATCACTGTCATCACCCCATATGATTCACAAATTACACTCAAGGTAGTCTTCTTTTTTCCTGTAATAAATCATTTTTCTGATTAAAACTTCACTAATACAAAATCCATTTCTGGCACCTTGAAGGGAATCTCAACTGATAAGATTATTGATGTAAAGAAGCTATTGGCTAACAATGTTGAGACCTGCCATCTTACTAACTATTCTCTGTCTCATGAGGTAAAAGCCCTTTTGTCTTTAATTCTCATTTTTTGTTAATTCTTTCTCAAATTCAGTAAATGGGTTCTCTGATTTAGTTGTGATTGGAATTGGCCTGGTTTGTAGGTTAGAGGGCAGAGATTGAATGATGCAGTCGAGGTTGCCACTCTGAAACCATGTGTGTTGAGGATGGTTGAAGGTAGGTGACAGGTCCATCTATGCATCTGTATCAGTTACAGTTGATAAACTAGAAATGCAAAGAGCCATTAATGGCCACGTATTGGATGTAGGCGATAACCAATGAATTTCATAATCAATATCTACCGTACGGGACTTGTTTTCCTGACCATTTAAGCTGTAAATCCTTCCACATAATGTGCATGAAGAAATTGATTCATGCGTGATATGGGCCCAGTAAATTGGATGATCGTGATCTTTGGGGAAGGTGACGATGTATGGAGGCTATGAAGAGAGAGGGAGAGAGAGAGAGATTCCACAGCTGGGCCCTCTGAGAGACTGAAACAGAACGTTCAGGCAAATGGTCTTCTCTAGTGGATACCCTGTGAGTCTGTGACAGATCGTTGAGACAAATTATGAGGGTAGTATGGTCAATTTATAAATACTTATTGCCCGAAAAGTGCGCTTTATTTACAATTTATGACATTCATTTGCAGAGGACTACATCGAAGAAGATCAAGCGGTAGCACACGTACGCAGGCTACTAGATATTGTTGCGTGCACCACCTGGTTCGGAAAACCGAAAGATGGAAGAACGGAAGGCCGCGCCAAGAAAACCAAAAACCAGAGTGACTCCAATTCGAGCTCGACGACGATCTCAAGCGCTCATTCGTCCTCTAATGGGGAAATTTCAACTGGGTCTGCTTCAGAAGCGTCGGATTCTGTTATTTCGGAGGAATTGGACATGGCTACGATTCACCCAACTCCGAAGCTCTCCAACTTCTATGATTTCTTGTCGTTGTCTCATCTTACTCCGCCCATTCTGTGTATGTTGTTCTTTTTTTTTATTTTTTCTTTTGCGGATTGAAAACGAATAATGGGTATTAATGGTTTTAGTTATCATGTGCCTTTTCTGCAGTTCTGAAGAGAGGTGATATTCGTGGTGTGGAAGAGAGGCGCGAGGGTGATTACTTAGAGTTTCAGGTGAGTTTATCTCTGCGTTCTTTTGTTCACATACTGTTAATGACATTCACGTAGGCTCGGAGGCTAGAATTTTTAAGGAATTGTTTGCTTCAATTGAAACTGTTAATATTTCTGAGCCTTTTATGATCTTTGCATCTAAAATTCTTGACAATCATGATAAACGGTCCTTTGTTTAGAGTTGCATAGCAACTTTGGTTGAACCCAAGTGGCATTGGCATGTCAGAAGCAATTAATTCCATTAGCTCTTGTTCACTGGAGTGAATGAATGGGGTATCTGCAGGTTAAGATTTGCAATGGGAAGGTAATAACAGTGGTTGCCTCGGTCAAAGGGTTCTACTCTGCAGGGAAGCAGTTTATTCAAAGTTACTCTCTGGTGGATCTGCTGCAACAGCTAAGCCAGGCGTTTGCTAATGTGGGGACTTAAATTTCCTTCTATCTTCATGACTTGGTTTCTTGAATCTATATTCATTTGTCTCTGATTAGTATTATTTCATGATCAATACAGGCTTACGAATCCCTTATGAAAGCGTTTGTTGAACACAATAAGGTGATAACTTTTAGGTTTTAAGATGTATTTAAATAGATGTAATGCTTTTCTACTTTTCTTTTTCAAAACCGAATGCATCTCAGAGACTTACTTTCTCTTCTTCAGTTTGGTAATCTACCCTATGGATTCCGTGCAAATACATGGCTTGTCCCTCCAACAGTTGTTGAGTTCCCATCAAAATTTCTGCCCTTTCCAACAGAAGATGAAACCTGGGGTGGCAGTGGTGGGGGTCAGGGAAGAAGTGGTCAATATGATTATAGGCCATGGGCCACAGAGTTTTCAATATTGGCAAGCTTGCCTTGTAAAACTGAGGATGAGAGATTGATCCGTGATAGGAAGGCCTTTTTGCTGCATAATCTATTTGTGGATGTCTCAATTTTTAAAGCTGTCTCAGTAATCAACCAACTCATAAACTCCAATATGAACTCGAAACATTCTGCAAATAGTTCTGCAGGCTCAATTTTGTATGAAGATCATGTGGGTGATCTATATATTGTAGTAAAGCGGGATGCAGCAGACATAAGCTTGAAGGCCAATGAGAAAGTCAATGGAAACCAAGAATCCGGTATGCTCTGTAAGGATGTTACTCAAAGGAATCTACTTAAAGGGATTACTGCAGATGAGAATGTGGTTGTTCATGTAAGAATATATATCTCCTTTGTTCTTTCTTCGTTGATATTTTTTCCTATTATGTTCTCAGAGTTTGAACCCTGAAGCAACATAGTACATTTGCAGGACACTTCTACATTGGGCATGGTTGTTGTTAGACATTTGGGATACACTGCAATTGTAAAAGTCCAGGGTGAGGTAAATAATGGAAGTTGCATAGCCCAAGATATTGACATTGACAATCAGCCCGATGGAGGTGCCAATTCATTGAATGTTAACAGGTGTATAATTGTAATCTACAAAAGCATTTACCTTCATATGCAATCAATAGGAAGGAAAGACCAGTTATTGTCATTCCACAAAAACATTGCCCACATTTTTTTATTTTGTTGTCCATGATAATTGATAAGAATCTGCAACAATTTTCAACTTCTACTTCTGGTAAAATGAGGAAAGAACAGTTTTTTTTTTCCAGAAAAAAAAAAGAAAATCAAAGTGACACAGAAGGAAAAGATTCATAGTAAACTGTGGAAGTCTATCAAACATTTTCATATGCTGTGTATCAACTACTAGTTTTGCGTAGAAAATTGAATAATCAAAACCTAGTACCGTGTTATGAAATACTAACCCTCCAGTATACATGCATATACATGAAAATGAAAGCAGAGTTGAGAGTTCAAGTATATTCTTACTATGAATGAACTAGTTTATAGAGAAATAAGTTATTCTCTTTTTCTATAGAAAGATCATCAAAATTAGCAGGAGAAACCCAGAGTTAAAACCATTTTCAGTGGCATCTTAAGATAAATTTAATTATCTACTTCAGTTAACCAACACTGTGTTTTCCCTTTCAAAAAAAGTTAAAAAATGGTAATTTAATAGAACAAAAACTAGAGAAATATAGCAGAGATTCTGTAACCACATTGGGCTTTTGTAAGGATGTAAGAATATTTATTATATTGTAATATGTATGCTAGACTCTTCTCTATACTGTTCTATAGTTACGTAATAAACATTTGTCTGAATGAAACCCTTTTTATTGCCTATCTCCTTATTTTTTGAAAAAAAATGAAACCCTTTTTTCGTTACTATGTTACTTTGGTTTTAAGTGTACTACATGCATTAATCAGTTATTTATCTTCTACAGCTTACGGACATTGCTTCACAAGTCATTTGGTGCTGAATGTCAATTTCCTCTGTCCAATTTGGATAGTCTAGAGGCAGCTAGATGTTTAGTCCTGAAAGTGATAAATGATAGTTTGATTAAATTAAAAGAGGAACCTGCTGTTAGTGAAAGGTTCATCAGATGGGAGCTTGGTGCTTGTTGGGTACAACATCTACAAAAACAGGAAAAGTCACCAAATGGTGGGTCTAAAGTCTGTTGGGAAGAGAAGAACAAGGCAGAAGTGGATGTTAAAGGTCATGGTAAGCAATTAAAGCTGTTAAAGAAGAGAGAAAGGAAAATGGATAGTATAAGTAGGAAAGCTGATAAGTTGGAAGAGGATTCTAAAATTAGCAACACAGTAGTGGACGAAAAAGGTGACTCTGGGGAAACAAAGAGTGAGTACAATGGTGATGCAGAAATAAACAAGTTGATTTCTGAGGCAGCCTTCTTGCGTTTGAGAGAAACCAAAACAGGTCTCCATCAAAAGGTCTCTGAGATGCTTTTGTTAAAATACTATTTCATAGCTCAACTATTAAGCTTATTCTTCGCATGCTTTTTGATTTTGAAATTGGTTTTCTAGTTAAGAACATAAATAAACATGATAGTATAACAAACAGGATCGTGCAAGACAGGAAGCATCATTAGAAGGGGTCAAGGATCCACCATTCTTTTTTCTGTGGTTATGGATCCACTGTTCAGTGGACCTGATAAATCTGTAGCTGCAATTTCAGCATCAAATCCCACCTGGGAGATATTCAAGAGGTTGACATGAGGCATAAATCACTTCTTCACTTTCTAGGACCGTTAAAGAATTAAAATACCTTGGCATTCAATAAAGGGTGTTGTAGATAAAATTGGATATCCAATCGGGATGACTACAAACTTTCTGCAAAAGGTCCATTAATTAAGTAATCTGTTTTTGTTTCTTCTTTCCATTCTGTCCCAACTCTAATCTTATACAATAGAAGTCCTTTTTGGGCAAAATAAACAACTACAAACTAGCATAAGACATGTGCTTCCTAATTTCAGATATCAATGTGAGGCTTTGCGCATTGTGACTCTTAGAGGCCCAATATAATGATAAAGAAATACTTTATAGAAGACTTAAAGTCTATAAAGTAACAACAATTAGAGAAAAGGAAGTATGTGAAGTATTAACAAGTCGACATCATATTCATGTTTTAGTACTGCTAACTAAGAGCTGGAAGTTCACAAATTTGGAAGTAATGATAATAAATATCCTGAGCAGAAAAATATTTATAGATAATGTCTATCAACTGATTTAATTTGCATATATTTTATATTTCCCCTCTATTTATTTCATTTTTTTCTGACATCTGGTGCTTGCATAGTCATTGGATGAGCTTCTCAAGATGGCCCACAAGTATTATGATGAAGTTGCTTTACCAAAGCTGGTAATCTTCATTTCTAGATAGTGTAGATCATGTTGCGAAATTTGATATATTTCTACTTAATTTATACATGGATTTGAGGGTTCTTACTTCTTCAGGTTGCAGATTTTGGATCGCTTGAACTTTCTCCAGTTGATGGACGCACACTAACTGATTTTATGCATACTAGAGGACTTCAAATGCGTTCCTTGGGACGTTTGGTAAGGAAATAGTATTTTTTTTCCTTCTTTTATGTATGTATAAATTAACTAGTGTTGCATGATCCAGCCAGGTTTAGATGCTCAGACCATTTACCTACCACCCAGCAAGAAACCAAGTTGGACAATCCTAGTTTGACAATTCTGTTAATCTATATGTTCAAATATGTATATGTATATAGTATTCAAAAATAGTTTTGGGGTTATTTTAACAGCATATAAGTTTTACATATGTATGCATTATGGTTTCTTTTGTAATTTTTTCTTGTGTTTTCAAAAATTTGTGAAACCTGTCAGGCTGGATTTCAGTGTGGTGGGTTGACATGTTGACCTGCCAACCAGCAGGAAAACTGGGTTGATGCCAGACTTGAGTTTCATAAAACTGATGGTTACTTTATTCTCCTTCTAGAGTATATCTAGGTATTTCTTTTTTGGGTAATATTTTTACTAATACACTTAGAATCAGTATACTGGAACCTGGAGTAATAGTATATACCACTGTTGAACTTTACAGCAAGGTCTATTGCCACATTATTAGAGGGTAGGTTGGCCTGAAGGAAAAACCATATAGTTGTGGTAAAATTATCAGAAATGTTGATTGGTGAAATTATCATCTTTACTCTTCTGAGATTTTGAATATTGCTCCATTATCTCAAGATTTATTTTGTTAAGCCAAACCATCAGTTTCTTTCCTGGATGTTGTAGAAACATAAGATCTGCTTCTATAGTTCAACATTTTTACTCATTATATACAAACAGGTTGAACTTGCAGAGAAGCTACCTCATATACAGTCTCTATGTATTGATGAGATGGTTACTCGAGCCTTCAAGCACATACTTAAAGCTGTGATTTCTTCAGTTGACAATTTAGCAGACTTATCTGCAGCTATAGCCTCATCCTTGAATTTCCTGCTTGGGTCCTACAAGAAAGACACTCATGACCACAATCTCAAAATGAAGTGGCTAGAGACCTTCATTGCCATAAGATTTGGCTGGAAGCTAAGGAATGAGTTTCAACACGTGAAGAAGTTCTCAATTCTCCGGGGACTTTGCCATAAAGTACCCTCCTTTAACATTTCTTTCATCTTCTGCTTCTATTCAATGTTTATTCATTACTGCTAATGCCTCTAATAATCCAGGTTGGAGTTGAGTTGGTTCCAAGAGATTATGATATGAACAGCCCAAACCCTTTTAAGAGGTCAGATATTATCAGTATGATCCCAGTTTGCAAGGTATGAACAAATATTCTTATTCTTTTCTTCTCTCTTTTGTCTCTAATTTTTCCACCTTATATATAATGGCTTCAAAATTACCTGTAATGCTGATTTATGTTCCACAGCATGTAGGATTCTCTTCGGCTGACGGTCGGGCCCTAATGGAGTCATCTAAGGCATCACTAGATAAAGGAAAGCTAGAAGATGCTGTCAACTATGGAACAAAGGTAGCAAATTGGACCAGGAGTAAGCTGCACAAATCTTTTCTCAGATATGGTATAAATGGATCTAAGTATCTAACCTCCTCTGTACCACTTTACTTGAAGGCATTATCAAAGATGATAGCTGTTTGTGGTCCTTATCATCACACAACTGCAAGCGCATACAGTCTTCTAGCTGTGGTTCTTTACCACACAGGAGATTTTAATCAGGTACTATGACCTTAATAGTCATATTGAGCTATCATTACAAGAAGATTTTTATTTTGTCATCTGTTATCAAAATATATATAATGGAAAGAAAAACTGTAAAAGCATTCATATCATTACTACAAAGGATACATAGAAAGATTGGAACCAAATGTCTGTAAACCCCATATCTACAAAGGATTTTTATGGAGACCATGAACAGCAACTTTGAATGTGTTTAGAATGACTAGGTCTCTTAGGAACATGGAAAACCAGGAAGGTACTTTCTTGCTATAATAGTCTGCAAGATCTTAGTGAATTCCAACATCAAGCATCACCACCTTATTTGAAATTCAAGGGTGAATCATGATCATGAGATTCATCATTTCCACCTCACCTACATATGGAAGTGGCAATTTTTGGCCCAATCTATCAATATTATCATTACTGGTTTATGAGGTTCAGGTTCACATGTCTTGCACTTTTGGCATGTATTTTTCACAAATATATGTGAGGAGAAGATTTATTTACTTCAACTCTTTAAACTTCAATTTTCCTCCTTTTTAAGGCAGCTGTATATCAGCAAAATGCATTAAATATAAATGAGAGGGAACTTGGACTGGACCACCCAGATACAATGAAAAGCTATGGTGATCTGTCAGTTTTCTATTATCGCCTCCAACACATCGAATTGGCTCTAAAGTAAGTTTGGAATTGTTCATCTTTCTTACTGTTTATGGCTTTCTAAGATGGCCTATATGTTTATCTTTGACATCTTAATTTATTAGGCATTTTAATCCAAAGAAAACTTTCCTGAGAATCTAGCTTCCAAAATACCTTTCTTTTCTCTTGTAGATTGCAATTTATTTTCCAGGTTTTTTCAAAATCTTAGAATTTATTTCCTACCAGGCGTTGTGCCTTTAGTTTGACTTACGAGGCTTCTCGCATTAATGGCAGGTATGTCAACCGTGCATTATACCTTCTTCATTTTATATGTGGGCTGGCACACCCAAACACCGCTGCAACATACATAAATGTGGCTATGATGGAAGAGGGCATGGGAAATGTACATGTTGCTCTTAGATACCTACATGAAGCTCTCAAGTGTAACCAAAGATTGCTAGGAGTAGACCACATACAGGTTCTCTCTCTCTCCCTCTCTCTCTCTGCCCAATCTAGATATTAATCTCAGCATCTTGTCTAAAATTAAAACTATGACGGTTCGCAATAATATAACAGTTTAGCGGAAGATGTTTATATTAACATTTGCTACTTGTATTTAATTATTTTGATACTTTTTGGACTAAGATATTCTCTGCAGCAATATCTACATCACCCTTCTAGGATATAGTGTTTAAGATATATGTCAACAGTCAAAACTACCAAAATCCAAATTGAGCAGTCCTATTCCATCATCACAAAACCACTGTTTATTATGTTTGAGGCAATGGTTGGTTCCACCTTAGGACATTTGCAAGGTTTCGTACAATCCAATTGATTGATCCTCCTCTAAATATATTCTGAACTAAACATCAATCTATGTCTATACTATTATTAGAAGTATGAGTGAACTTGTGGAACTTTTTTTGACTAAAATACCCTTATTTTTGAATTTAGTCCCTCTTAATTGTGAGGGCAGAAAATGTAATTTGAACTATTACTCTTCACCTCATTCAATTCCTTCTCATTAAGTCTTCTACTTAAAGTATTAACTGCCATTATCTCTTATTAAATACTATATTTAAGGTATTTTTTTCTCACCAATAGATTCTATTATTTAGATCTATATCTAATACTTTTGACAATATAAAACCCATGTTCTTTTAAAACTGACTCAAAAACGAAATTGTTCTTCTGTCCAGGTGGGTAAACCCATCAGGGTCAAATAAATAATAAAAATTATTAAATGGGTCAAATGGATGAAATGGGTAAGCAATTCAACCATCAGGGTCAAATGGGTAAATCCATGATTTCATACTTAAATAATAAAAATTAAAAAGATAAAAACACAAAAATTAAGAACAAAGATATAAATTCTGTAGAAAACATAACATTTTGGGTGTATCTCTAGTATTCATCATATTAAACAAAAGTAAGTGTGGTAAATAAGAATTATTCTTATCCACATTGAAAATAGAAAAAATTGGACAAGTACTATCATAATCATCATCTAAATTTTCCACGTGCAAAGCACATGTGCATTTGCTAGTCCAATCAAACGATTGTAAAAACAATATAAGTAATATTTGTATCTAGAATTTATTAGACAAAAGATGCTAATGTCCTTTGCGCTAGGACTGTGGTTCATCTGTGATTTTGATCCAACACAAATGACACCTTTTTCTCCTATAGGCAACATTAAAACATTGAAGATCAATTTATGGTTTTATTTTTATGTTCATGTATACTTAGGATTTCATATAATGTCATCAATATGGAGCTATAAAGATCACAAGCCAAAGCATACTAGAAGCTGATACCTGCATAAGCCTTCCTATGGACTCAATGACCCCAAAACATATATTTGAACCATGAACAATGTGCTTTTCTGGATTAGAATATTGTATCATGTATCATGTTTCATGATGCATATGTTTTGCAATCCTTGGCTCCTTGCTGTTTTTTGAAGAAGGTAATGAAAATTTCGTTAATGGAGAAGAAGGGAAGATGGGATGGCTTCCTTCCATGTACATTTAGCAGATATACACAGACACCAAAAGCAAAAACAAAGAAAGAGAGGAAATTAATTACAACAAAATGTATGAGAATCGAACAAAGACTCTTATCTGAGACCCCTGAATTTCCACCAAGTTGAGAGCCAAGATGCCAGCATTCCTAGGATGTTCATCAACACTTCTTCCACTGATTGACTTTTACCCTTGAAATCTTTGTTCTAAATAGAACAAAGAGGTCCATGATGTAACAAAATAAACACCAGTAAGCTCCAAAAAGTTAATGGACCAAAATTTGGGAGGCAAAACTACAGTGGATCAAAAGATGGTTTACTGTTTCTTCCTCAGTATTGCAGTCCTTGCTGTTGATCTCCACTTAGGGCATGCAATGTAACAGGCCAGATCCTCATGCCTCTTCTAACCAAGTTGACTCTAGAAAGTCCATAATCCTTGCTGTTGATCTCCACTTAGGGTATGCAATGTAACTAGTTGGTTTGATTTATTAACTAGGATCCACGTTTTAAATGGATTGGGCTCAAGCTGTGTCATCTAGATTAAAATTTGAGTTGGATTTGGAACCTATCATTGGCTCAAACCCCCTTGAAACATGTTCAAGGTCTGTTCTAAATACCATTAGAAAAAGAGGTTGGACATGGATTTGTTCCATGGATTGGAGTTAGATATGAGCCAAATCTGGTAAGGTGTGTACAAATTTGGATCTGGTCCAGATATAACTACATCCTGTCCATATCCAACCTGTTTTATTTCCTATACCTTATCATTCCACAACATAAAGACTTTAATATGATGATTTATGCTCTGGGTCTATCCAGCATAATATCATTTCCTTCAGCAATAATCTTTTTGGTTAGGTTTATCTTTAGCAATAATCTTGATCAAAAGATGGTATTATATTTTTTTTCTATTTCTGATAAACAAAATAAGGGCATACTAAATTCACACTTCACTTGGTGAAGGAAGAGACAAGAGCTGATCTACAGAAAAAGGAGTGGCATAAAATATTTGTGTTTGTACATTTTATTTCTAGGTGGCTAAATTTCTTTGCCCTTTTGTGTGTGTGTGTTTTTCCTGACAGACTGCTGCAAGCTATCATGCAATTGCCATAGCTCTTTCATTGATGGACGCTTACTCCTTAAGTGTGCAGCATGAACAAACTACATTAAAGATACTCCAAACCAAACTTGGACCAGAAGACCACCGTACTCAGGTAAGGTAGTCATGGAATGTTTTCATCCAATCAGTGACAATTAAGAGGTTAGTACAATTTCTTTTTACATTTTGAAAATTAATGCTCCATGTATTTTCATGCAGGATGCAGCTGCGTGGCTTGAATATTTTGAATCAAAAGTCTTAGAGCAGCAAGAAGCTGCTCGTAATGGGACTCCAAAGCCAGACACATCAATTGCAAGCAAAGGTCATCTTAGGTATTGATATGCTGTTCCCACTTTGTTTTTAATTGTATGACCATTTTTCATGCCACCAAACTTTTGACCCTTTCTCGCAGTGTGTCAGATCTTCTTGATTTTATAAATCCAGATCAAGATTCAAAAGTCAGAGATGCACAGAAGAAACTACGACGTGCAAAGGTAACATGTCTTACATAATTTTGGTATGTTAGAAATAAAACAAGAATTGCATTTTTGATTTTCCATATTCTGTGGAAAAACTTTGATTCTTATGAAATAGGAATTTGGGAAATATTTTATAGGAGCAGATTTCTCATAAAAAATTTTCAGTGTGGGAGAAATGTTAATAAAACACATAATATTTCAACAAAATTCCAAGGAATGTTAAAACTTAAAAGAGGCAGATACATACTTAGGACAATGATAATTTGATGAGACAAAAAATAAAATAAAAACATTTATGCACAACTGATTTAGGGAACCAAAGCATTTGACATTGAGGATACATATTATAAATCAATACCCAGAATAAATCTATACATTGTTTTTAACAATCATGAGTTTCACAACCAATGCACCCAATAACTGTTAATAATAAAAATGGATGAGGATCATTCTGACATAGAATTACAAGTTTCCTGAAGCTATTGCTCATATTGTGTTTTAAAGATCCAATAATGTGTCAATTATTTCTCTATTTGTGACTTAAATTAAGAGCCATATGCCATGATATAAGTCAGATCAAAATCCTTTGCTTTTACTTATGGAAAGAAAATAGGTTGATAAATATTAGGAGTTTATATTATGTTTTGGGGAACCTTGTAAGTTATGGTCAAAATAGGCTAACTTTGGATTTTCATCCAGAATATCCCTTCAATTAGGGAAACAAAAACTCATTTTCTTGCAAAATTTTGTCAGATTTATATGAAAATTCTGTGAAGCTACTAATATCTATTTATGATCGATCATTCATGAAAATTTTATTATAGAAGAAAAAGGAGATAAATATTAACAATGCTTCCAAGAAGGCTTAGACCCACTACCCAATCAGTGAAAAAAAATGAAGGAAAGCAATTACATCCACACTCTGTAAAACTGATAATGTACTAAGATCTTAATTCTGTTTAGATACAAGTCCAAGGTGGTGGTTAAGACTAAATGAAATTTACTACTGAATACTGATTTCATTTAAGCCTTGTAGAAACTAACATTTTTCTGCAAAAATCCACCATAAGTCCAACCATGTTTAGAAACATTACTATTGATAACTCAGTTACCTAATAGAGGAACTCATTGTCATGCTAACATGTTCTACCTTCTGTTCATTTATCAAAAAAAAAACAAGCATGTTCTTCCTTCTGAAGCCAAACTTTTGGCTGCACCTGAACTGCTTCTGCCCATGGTATTTTAGCTATTGCAGATTGCTGAGAAATCCCATCAAGCACAACATGATGCAAGCACTGATGACATCCAGTTAGATGTCAAAATGCAAATTTCTGTAGAAGATGACAACAGAAGCAAAGAAAAGGTAGGCGAAATACATTCAGAACTCAGAGAAAATGATGGTACTGGTACGTATGATCCAAAAACTATAAATGGATCAAACTCAGAAGCTGATGAAGGTTGGCAAGAAGCAATCTCAAAAGGACAGACTGGGAATAGTGTAGGCCGTAAATTTGATAGAAGGCGACCAGCTCTTGCAAAGCTAAACATAAACACCTCCGAACCCTCCGACAATGGAGATGCAAATTACAGGAAAAAAACCAAGAAAGCATTTTCAATTGACATGTATGCAGCCCTAAAACATCAAATGACTCCAAGTTCAAGTGGTGCAGAGAATCCAACCAAGTTGCAAGAAAAGAATCCAGTCTCTACAATTTTCTCAGCACCGGTTACTCCTGGCAATCTCACTGCAAGGGCCTCAAAGTCTCTTTCTTACAAAGAAGTAGTTGTGGCACCTCCTGGTACAGTGTTAAGGCCAGTGATTGAGAAACCTGAAGAGATAAAAAAGGAAAAAGTTGATACCCATGATTGTCATATTTCACCAGAGGCATCCCACATTGGAGAAGCTGACAACACTGTCATTGAAATAGCAAAGGCCAAGGAGGAGGAAAATATAGCAACTGGCCATAATGAAACCAAAGAAGAAAAAGCTATTCCTGAATTTGAAGTGACTACGTGCTTGACTAATTATGAGAAGGCCCCAGAAACCAATGGGAGAAAGCTTTCTGCTGAAGCCCAACCGTTCAATCCCAGGTCCTTCTCTTTGATGGCTCCTTCATTCAGATCAGTGACAAACATATATGGTAACACAACAAATCAAGGCATGGTTTCACCTAGGCCTACGGGGATGTACCCTCATCCATCCATTGACACCAGAGTCCCCTGTGGACCTAGATCACCATTGTACTACAGAACCGGCCATGATTTTTGTATGAAACATAATTTTCTGAACTACCAAAACCCTGTTACAGATAGAAGCAGCCTGATGCCTCCAAGAGTTATGAATCCACATGCACCTGAATTTATTCCAAGAAAAGCTTGGCAGCATATTCCTGGAAATAGTAACTTGGAGGTTCCTACCTTGTTAAATCAGGAATCTGGGTCTTTGGATGGAAATGGTGAGGAGTTGATATCAGAAGAGCAACAACGTGATCCAGTATCCAGTACTGAAGGTAGAGATGGTAAATTGAAAAACTGCAGTATGGACTTGCAAAAGGCAGAGCTTGCAAGGCAGATACTGATTAGTCTCATTTTGAAGTCAGTCCAACATAATTTGGATCCTAGAAATGCAGCTAGAGAGAAAAACTCTGATATTCTAGAGCAGTCTTTAGATCCAATTGAAAGGGATAGTGCAATTATCAAGATTCATTATGGGAATGGAGATAAAACAGAATCAATGTCTCAATCTGCTGAAGATGAACAATCAAAGGCAGTAGATACAGATGAACATAAGAATGTTGATGGAGAAGGATTCACAGTTGTCACAAAGAGGAGAAGAAACCGACAACACTTCACAAATGGGGTAACTGAGTTATATGCTCAGCAATCTATCTGTACTTCAGTCCGTTGAAAGGTTGAACGAACATAAAAGAACATTGCAGAAAAGATTTTTCTCCTTTAGTTATCTTGTCTACCTGCAGACCCTTCAGAGATGGAGTTAGTGGGTCAGAGATTTGCATGGTTACGCGAAGAGAGAAAGGGCAGACAAAACATCACAAGGATATTCGTTTTTCCATTTGTTTGTTTTTTTTTTTTCATTGTCTTCAGTTTTCATCTCTAACTAGCGGGGTTTATGACATTGTATGTTAAAATTGTACGATTAGAGGAGAGCAGATATGATCAATTCAGTTCAACTGACACTAGTTCCATGGATTTTGTAAGGAAATGAAAATTTTTAAACAAATGAAGGGGTATCATCAAATGAGGATATCTCAATCCTTTGTTTTGCTAGTAAGGTCAAGGTCATCCACTGCCATGCCAGAGTCAGATGTGTGGAAAGAATAGAACACCTTTTTTCCTCCAATGTTTAACTACAGTTTCGTTTAAAGCTTCCTTATACCCTAGTTAGTCCAACTTCCAACTTTGAATCTTTGTTGGATTAACGTCAGATTCATCTCCCTAAGCAAATTTGTTGGTTGCGATTCCAACTTCCAATGCACTACTGTAATTGGTAGGGCAGTCAATGGGCCATAACCTGATGTATTATGGTCAGTCCAAGGGTCCAGACTCCAGGCACAGCAAGCATGCAGGAATCCAGATGGATTAGAAGTTTTTGTTCGAGCCCAGGACCCTGAAGTTCATTATGATATGAATTTCAAGAGTAGTGATATTCAAAAAGGTACCTGACATTAGGAAGTTGTTTAACATCAAATCAGAATCTAAAATCCTTCCCAAGAGTTTTAAATTATGGAAATTTGACCATTTCAACTTCTTGGTCCCTAATAAGACTTTTTGGAATACTAGATTTCAGAAATGAATTCGATAAATTTTAACCATTTTATTAATATTTTGGTATAGTATATTATTTTGTAGTTATTATTAATTTTATATAACATTAATCAAATTGTGATTTTTTTTTTGTGGTGTAGAGGATTGGCTTAAGGGGGTTGTTCACAGTTAAATAATGAAAATCAAGGTTTTAAAAATCGGACGGGACATGGAACCGTTTTGGGGACTGGTTCCTAGGTTAAATGGTCCAACTGTCCGGTTAACCGGTTTGAATGGACTGTCCATTCTGATTAAAAAAATAAAAAAAAACGACTAAAAACCATTGTCTAGGTCGGTGATCAGCAACCCGAGTCAGCAGTTCGTTATTTTAACTCACAAGTGGTTTTAGGGTGAAACGGAACCGATTGCCTGACAAATTCCCAGGTCAACTGGTCTGACCGTCTGGTCCAGTCCGGTTTTCAAAACCATGATGAAAATTCTGAGGTCTTAACCCAATGTTTCAGTTTGATTATTGGGCTCCGGGAAAGTCAGGAGTACCGTGATTGCTGCTTATTTGAAGAAACATGTTCAGTGGGTGCAAAACTCTGTTAAAGCAGTCATAGGTCCATTTTGTAACAAAACTCTCTGTTATGTTCTCTAGTTCCTCATCCCAATTTTTCAATTAACAGAGAACTCCAATGGAAAACAGATCAATGAGCACTAGTAAATATTTTTTACACCTGTCCCTTAATTTTCCATCTCCCCGTGCCGTGTGTATATGACTTCATATTTACTTTTGGGTTTGGGCGTAAATCAAAAGTTTGTATGTCTTCTTCAGAGCAGATATGTGCTGGCAGTGCTGCGACTGTTTGTGCGGCGGCAGCTCTTATCGTTCGCCATCGGATGCGATGCTCAGGCCATTGGCAATTTGGCATTGGTCTGGGGCGATGGCTCCTTACCTTAGGCAATTCAAAGAAAAGTGTACAATGCCGAATGGGAAGTTCAGACAAGTGGCTCACGCCATGGCAGTCGAGATCCATGCTGGTATTGATGAGGGGGAGTCTTCTGCGATGCTTGCATGTGGGCATGTCTACGGGTGCAAGTCGGGTGGGTTGGGCCTGGTTTATGGTGAATCTGGGCTTGACCCTAAAATTTGGGTTTAAGGCTTGTTGAGTTGGTTTGTTACTGCTTAGTCCAATAAATCCCTATTCTTAAGGGAGTCATTATTTGTTTGTTTTAGTCTTACCCTGTTTCTAGGAGTTGTTAGACATGGGTTGCTTAATTCTTGTTCAGTTTGTTATGTAAGGCTATTTAAATAGCCAATGTTGTTCTCAGTTTGAATAAGATAATTTCTTTCTCCTCAATATCTGTCTCTTGTTTTTCTTAGTTTTTAACATTTGGTATCAGAGCTCCAAGGGGCCCGATTAAAGTTTGAAGCGGCAGTCTTCAAAAGTATGACGGCAAAAAGTTCATTTGTGCAACCAGTAATCCCGCGATTCGATGGGCATTATGATCATTGGGCAATGTTCATGGAGAACTTCTTGCGTTCAAGGGAATATTGGGGCTTAATAGAGAATGGAATTCCTGCAGCAGCAGAAGGTGTTGTTCTCACAGATGCACAGAGAAAGAACATTGAAGATCAGAAGCTGAAAGATTTGAAGGCGAAAAACTATCTATTTCAAGCATTAGATCGTTCAATCCTGGAAACGATCCTTAACAAGGATACAACAAAGAACATATGGGATTCCATGAAACAAAAATATCAAGGAACGACTTGAGTCAAGCGTGCACAGCTGCAAGCACTTCGAAAGGAATTTGAAATTCTCCACATGAAGGCAGGAGAATCGGTGAACGAGTATTTTGCTCAGACTCTTACCATAGCCAATAAGATGAAAGCAAATGGTGAGAACAAAGGAGATGTTGTTGTTGTTGAAAAGATTTTGAGATCTATGACTCCCAAATTTGATTATGTTGTATGTTCCATTGAAGAGTCTAGGGATATAGACACCTTAACCATTGATGAGTTGCAAAGCAGCCTGCTTGTGCATGAACAACGTATGAGTGCTCATGTTGAAGAAGAACATGCTTTGAAGATCACTCACGGAGATCAAGCAGGAGGAAGGGGTTGAGGCCGTGGAAGTTCTAGAGGAAGAGGACGGGGAAGAGGCAGACAAAACTTCGACAAAACCACAGTGGAATGTTACAACTGTCACAAACTTGGACATTTTCAATGGTTATGTCCAAGCAAGGAGAAGGAGGCCAATTATGCAGAAACTCAAGAAGAGATGTTGTTGATGGCACATGTGGATATGAACAAAGCCAACAGCGAAGATTTGTGGTTCATTGACTCCGGATGCAGCAATCATATGTGTGGGAAGAAAGAATACTTCTCAGATCTGAATGAGAATTTCAGAGATTCAGTGAAGCTAAGCAACAATTCAAGCATGGCTGTAATGGGAAAGGGTAACGTCAGGCTGTAGGTGAATGGAATAGCACATATTATCACAGGAGTATTCTATGTACCGGAGCTRAAGAACAACCTRTTGAGCATTRGGCAATTGCAAGAAAAGGGGCTTGCTATTCTGTTTCAACATGGAAGGTGTAAGGTGTTTCATCATGAGAGAGGCTTGATCATGGATACGAAGATGTCTGTAAATARAATGTTTGTGCTACATGCTATATCTCAGCCTTTAAAATCTGCGTGTTTCAACACAATCACAGAGGATTTGGTGTAGCTTTGGCATTGCAGATATGGACACTTGAGTTTTATGGGCTTGAAAACTCTTCAACAAAAGAAAATGGTAAATGACTTACCTCAACTTAAGTCTCCTTCAAGGCTATGCAAGGACTGTTTGACAGGAAAGCAACAAAGAAATTCATTTCCAAAGAAGAGCACCTGGAGAGCTTCACAAATTCTCCAGTTAGTACATGCTGATATCTGTGGACCGATCAAGCCCATCTCCAACAACAAGAAAAGGTATTTGCTCACCTTTACAAATGATTTTAGTAGAAAAACATGGGTTTTCTTTTTGACAAAAAAATCAGAAGCCTTTGATGCTTTCAAAAGATTTAAGGTTCATGTTGAAAAGGAGACAAACACATCCATTAGAGGCTTATGTACTGATCGAGGAGGAGAGTTTACGTCACAAGAATTCAATAACTTTTGTGATGTAAATGGTATACAAAGACAGTTGACAACCGCATACACGCCGCAACAAAACGGAGTCGCGGAACGAAAGAACAGAACCATTATGAATATGGTACGTAGTATGCTTTCAGAAAAGAAAATTCCCAAAACCTTCTGGCCTGAAACAGCCAATTGGATGATGCATATCTTGAATCGAAGTCCAACATTGGCCGTAAGAAATAAGACTCCAGAAGAAGCTTGGAGTGGAATCAAACCTTCGGTTGGGTATTTCAGAGTTTTTGGCTGTATCTCTCATGTTCATGTACCTGATAGTAAAAGAACAAAATTAGATGATAAAAGCTTGAGATGTGTTTTGTTGGGAGTCAATGAGGAATCAAAGGCTTACCGACTTTATGATCCTACATCACAAAGGATCATAATAAGTAGGGATGTTGTGTTCGAAGAAGACAAGAGCTGGGATTGGGACAAGAAGTATGAAGAAGCAATTGGGTGCGATTTGGAATGGGGTGATCGAGAGGAGGAAGCGGCTGTTTTTTATGACAATGAAGAGAAAAGTGAGTCTGATATTGATGCTAATGTAGAAGAAGAAGAGGAGAATCTTTCCCCTGATTCTTTGGTCAAAAATTCACCTAGCTCGAATGAAGGGAGGAATAGGAGACCACCGGTTTGGATGCGAGACTATGAAATAGGAGGACTCTCTGAAGAAGACAATGAAACTCAACTGGCCATGTTTGCAACTGCTGATCCTATTCGCTTTGAAGATGTAGTAAAAAGCGAGAAATGGAGGAAAGCCATGGATGCGGAAATGGAAGCAATAAAGAGGAATAGCACATGGGAATTAATGGAGTTACCTGAAGGCGGAAAGAAAGTTGGAGTGAAGTGGGTTTATAAAACAAAATTTAATGAAAATGGAGAAGTAGACAAGTACAAGGCAAGGCTTGTAGTGAAGGGATATTCTCAGCAGTATGGAGTAGATTATACAGAAGTATTTGCACCTGTGGCACGTATGAAAACAATTCGTTTGGGGGTGGCTCTTGCAGCTCAAAGAGGATGGGCTATCTATCAGCTAAACGTAAAGTCTGTGTTTCTCTACGGTGAGTTAAAAGAAGAGGTTTTTGTGGAACAACCTTGTGATTATGTGCAAAAAGGACATGAACACAAGGTTTATAAATTAAAAAAGACACTTTATGGGCTTAAGCAAGCACCTCGTGCTTGGTACAGTCGTATAGAAGCATATTTCATGAAAGAAGGTTTTGAAAGATGTGACTATGAGCATACTTTGTTCATCAAGACAGGAAAAGAAGGTAAAGTTTTGATTATCAGTTTGTATGTTGATGACCTCATCTTTACTGGAAATGATGAATTGATGGTCTCAGAATTTAAAGATTCCATGAAGCATGAGTTCGACACGACTGATCTTGGCAAAATGAGGTATTTTCTTGGTCTCGAAGTGTTGTAGAAATCAAATGGTGTGTTTATTAATCATAAAAAGTATGCGTTAGAGGTGCTGCAAATGTTTGGAATGGATAAAAGCAATTCAGTTCAAAATCCTATTGTTCCAGGTTGTAATCTGGTGAAGGATGCAGATGGAGTTAAGGTAGACAAGACTCATTTTAAACAGATGGTGGGTAGTCTCATGTATCTAACTGCTACTCAACCAGATGTGATGTTCGTAGTTGGTCTTATAAGTAGGTATATGGAGAATCATACTGAGCTTCATTTACAAGTGGCAAAAAGGGTGCTGAGATATTTAAAGGGAACACTTGACTTTGGAATCTTCTATAAGAAGGGAGGAAACAATGAACTTATTGCTTACACAAATAGTGATTATGCTAGAGATTTGGAAGATAGAAAAAGACACTTCAGGTTATGTATTTTTATTGAGTTCAGGAGTAGTATCTTGGCTATCAAAAAAGCAACCAGTAGTAAGTCTATCTACCACTGAGGCTGAATTTATTGCTGCAGCTTCGTGTGCTTGCCAAACAGTATGGCTGAAAAGAGTGCTGAAAAGACTAGGTCTGAATCAAGGCAAGACAACTATTATTAATTGTGATAGTAGTTCTGCAATCAAACTGTCGAAAAATCCAGTAATGCATGGTCGTAGTAAGCATATAGATGTGCGTTTTCATTTCCTTAGAGAGCTCACAAAGGCTGGTACTGTGGAATTAGTTTATTGCAGCACACAAGATCAATTAGCTGATATAATGACAAAGCCACTCAAGCTAGATGTTTTCTTGAAGCTGTGAGCATCATTAGGAGTTTGTTCTGAAAATGATATAAACTGATACTTATGGCATTCAGTTTAAGGGAGGAAATGTTGAGTTGGTTTGTTACTGCTTAGTCCAATAAATCCCTATTCTTAAGGGAGTCATTATTTGTTTGTTTTAGTCTTACCCTGTTTCTAGGAGTTGTTAGACATGGGTTGCTTAATTCTTGTTCAGTTTGTTATGTAAGGCTATTTAAATAGCCAATGTTGTTCTCAGTTTGAATAAGATAATTTCTTTCTCCTCAATATGTGTCTCTTGTTTCTCTTAGTTTTTAACATTTGGTATCAGAGCTCCAAGGGGCCTGATTAAAGTTTGAAGCGGCAGTCTTCAAAAGTATGATGACAAAGAGTTCATTTGTGCAACCAGCAATCCCGCGATTCGATGGGCATTATGATCATTGGGCAATGCTCATGGAGAACTTCTTGTTTTTAACAAGGCTCGTGTCCAGATTGAGCCCAAGATTAAGTCCGACCTTTTCAACTCAAGCCCAACCTGTACTGTAATTTGATGCATTTAGGTTGGATTCGGGCCCAGGCCAGGTTTGGATTAGTTAATGAATCCACTCTAAAATTATACATATATATGTATTTATGTAAATATGTATACATATATTTTTGTATATATATAAATATATATGCAAAATATATATTTATATAGGTAAATATATATACAAATATGTATGCATATATATGTAAATATGTATACAAAATTTACATATATACATATGCATGTATGAATGTGTATAGTTGGGTTGGGCTTGAGCCGAGTTCAGGCTATCTAATAGCTAGGCCTGGGTCCGGCCCAAAAAAATTAAAAAGCCCGACTTCTAGGGCCCAAGGACCAAAAACTCAAGCCCTACCCATGTAAAATTTTGGGTTGGGCCAGTTTGGGCTCAGGCTAGGCTCATCCAAGTTACACCCCTAGGTATGTCTGACGATATATCAATCACGTGATGGCGTTTCAAAGATGTTAATTTTCATTTTGAAAATTTGAAGAATAATAGTGTAAAATCAATGTTTTCGAACTATCATTGACCTAGATGGTCAGACCATTCAACCAGGGAACCGTCCAAGCAACTGGTTCTGTTTCACCCCAAACCTAGTCCTTGGCCAAAAACCATTGAATTGCTCAATGACCCATTGACTCAGGCGGTTGAACCATTGACCCGTTCAATGGTTTTTGGCCATTTATTTATTTTAATTATTTTATTTTAACTTTTTAAATTTTTTTGTCAAAACCATCTGCTCATACCAGACGTTTGAACCGTTAACCTAGGAATCAGTGGCCATAATGGTTTTGGTTCCGGGTCGGTTTTTAAAACATTGGATAAAGTTGACCACAAAAGGGTAATATTGGATTTAAAAATAAAATGGGAAAATCTATGATGCAGAAAAAATATGGTATGGGAAGAGTTTTGACCAATCAAAACCCACCCATGAATTTTGATAAATAACACCTGATTGGCTACCATATTTATGATTCTACTTGACTGGTCAGAAGTTTTTCAGATATCATATCTTTTCTGTATCATAATCGATATACGTCAGATGGTGTTCCATGTGCATGGATTATGACAAAATATTAACAAATATTAACAGATGCTAACGACAGGAGTATAGCTAGTCAATTATAAAAAAGTTAAGAATAATTTAAATAGTGGGGGTAGAGCTAATAAACTTCCTAAACTATAAGAATATTTTACAAAATTTACAGT